ATGTCAGTCACATGGCCCTAGTCATGAGAGCAGCTGGTCCTCCAAAGACAGCCTCCTGGGACTGTCGTTCTCCAACTTTTTTTTTTTTTTTTGAGATGGAGTCTCGCTCTTGTTGCCCAGGCTGCAGTGCAATGGCATGATCTTGGCTCACCGCAACCCCCACCTCCCGGGTTCAAGCGATTCTCCTCCTCATCCTCCTGAGTAGCTAGGATTACAGGCATGCGCCACCACACCTGGCTAATTTTGTGTTTTTAGTAGAGATGGGGTGTCTCCATGTTGGTCAGGCTGGTTTCGAATTCCCAGCCTCAGGTGATCCACCCACCTCGGCCTCCCAGGGACTGTCACTCTCTAAGAATCAAGGCAGAGAAGATTCTCCAGGTGGGAGAGGAGGAGTTAGGGCCTGGGGAAGTCATCAGTTAGTTGGAGCAGCTACCCAGCAGAGAGCCATTGACCTTGATGAGAGATCTGGGCTCCAGTCATTCTTCTCTCTCCACACACCAGCAGCCCCCAAGGACCCATGAGGCCCACACAGGGCAGGCGTTGTGCAGGGGTGGGCCCCTGTCAACAGGCTTTGCCCACATGGGGACCCCAGGCCAGATCTGGGGGTGACAGCTGGAACCACAGCCCGCGTGTCCCCAGACCGGTTGCTCCTTGAGGAAGGTCGTGTCTGATTTGTCACACTGCTCAAGCCCGCCCAGCACCTGCTAGGTATGCCACCAGCCAGGCTGCCACTCCAGCTGCCTCCCTCCCTGCCTCCAGCTCTGCCTCCTCTTAGCAGCCAGAGGGCTTGTTTTTGATGCATAAGACCCTTCTATTGTGTCCCAGTGTGGTTGGAATGACACCTCCAGCACCACATCCTGGCTAGGAGGGCCCCTGCTGTGGGCCCCCAGGCAGCTGCGCCTCACCCTTCACCCCACGCCTGCTCCCTTGCAGCCCCATTGGCCTCCCTCCTGGCTCTTCTTACTGCAGGCCCTTCCCCTTTGCCTGTCCCCTCATCTTCGTGTGCCCTCCCTGGGTGAGCGGGCTGGGAAGGGAGGGCTTCCCTCTGGCTGCACATCTGACACCTCCTCCCACAGTCTTCCTGCCTGAGCCCTTCCAGCTTCAGGAGGCAGAGGTCGGTGTCCTGGAAAACAGTGTCTGCGGATCCTTTTTCCAGCCCCAGTACCCCGGCCAGCCAAGCAGCAGTGACTACACCATCCACGAGGACATGCTGTGTGCTGGGGACCTCGTAACAGGAAAGGCCATCTGCCGGGTGAGTGGGCTCAACCTCTCTCGCCTGTGCTGTCCCGGGCCTAGTGGGCCTCAACCTCTCCCCGCCTGTGCTGGTCCCGGCTCCTGCCACAGCCGGGTGAGTGGCTCAACCTCGCCTGTGCTGTCCCGGCCTCTGCCATCTGCCGGTGAGTGGCTCAACCTCTCTCGCCTGTGCTGTCCCGGCCTCTGCCATCTGCCGGGTGAGTGGCCCAACCTCTCTCCTGTGCTGTCCCGGGCCCTGCCATCTGTCGTGGTGAGTGGCCCAACCTCTCTCGCCTGTGCTGTCCCGGGCTCTGCCATCTGGCCGGGTGAGTGGCCTCAACCTCTCTCGCCTGTGCTGTCCCGGCCTCTGCCACAGCCAGGTGAGGCTCAACTTCCGCCTGTGTCCCGGCCCCGCCATAGCCGGGAGGGCTCAACTCTCTCTCGCTTGTGCTGTCCCTGCCTCTGCTATCTGCCGTGGTGAGTGGCCCAACCTCTCTCGCCTGCGCTGTCCCGGCTCTGCCATCTGTCAAGGAGTGGCTCAACCTCTCTCCTGTGCTGTCCCGGCCTCTGCCATCCACGGGTGAGTGGCCTGTCCCTCTCCTCGCCTGTGCTGTCCCGGGCCTCTGCCATCTGCCGGGTGAGTGGCTCCTAACTTCTCTCGCGCCTGTGCTGTCCCGGGCCTCTGCCACAGCCAGGTGAGTGGGCTCAATCTCTCTCGCCTGTGCTGTCCTGGGCCTCCCGCCACAGCCGGGCAGAGGGCCTGCAACGGCTCAACCTCTCTCGCCTGTGCTGTCCCGGGCCTCTGCCACAGGGTCTCCTCTAGACCCTGCCCCAGCCCTGACTTCTTCCCGAGCCCAGCCAAGCCTGAGGTGTCAGAGCCAGGACAGAAACCCCCAAAAAGCACTGGCCCATCCGTTTTCTTTGTATCTTTTAAGAAGTGTTGTTGGCCGGGTAAACAGTGGCTCATGTGTAATCCCAGCACTTTGGGAGGCTGAGGCGGGTGGATCACCTGAGGTCAGGAGTTCGAGACTAGCCTGACCAACATGGTGAACCCCCCATCTCTACTAAAAATACAAAAATCAGCCAAGCATGGTGGCACGTGCCTATAGTCCCAGTTACTCGGGAGGCTGAGGCAGGAAAATCGCTTGAACCCGGGAGGCGGCGGTTGCAGTGAGCCGAGATCGTTCCACTGCCCTCCAGCCTGGATGACGGAGTGAGACTCCGTCTCAAAAAAAAAAAAAAAGAAACCTTGTTGAAGCACACCATGCACAGGGAAAGGCGTAAGTAAGTACAAGTGTTCTGCAGAGGAATTTTCAGAGACTGACCACTCATGTACCTGGCACCCATGGGTTTCGTCCATGCCCCATTCCTGACGCTAACCCTGCCTGCTTTCTAAAGCACCATGGCTTCGTGTGGGGACTTTTAGCTGAGTGAAACCGTATGGTATGCAAGCTTTTGCCTGGTCCCCTGAGTCAATGTTGTGTCTGTGGGCTGCATCCATCTGGCATGCAGTCCGTATTGTTCATTTTTATTGCCGTATGCTATTCCAGTGTGCAAAGACACTGCAATTTACTTATCCATTCTAGTGTGGGTGGCATTTGGGTGGTTCCCATTTGAGGTTGTTGCAAATATAATTGCCGTGGACCTCCTGGTGTACGTGTTTCAGAGCACACAGGTTCCCATTCTGGTTATCAGTCACCCTGGCAATGGAATTGCCTTGCCATGAGATACGCACATGTTCATCTCTCGTTGATCATCTGAGAAACTCTGCAACCTGGTTGTACCAATTTTCATTCCCACCAGCTCGTGAGTGATAGTTCAGGTTGCTGCCAGTCCTTCAAATTGTCTTGCCATTTTCATATGAACTCTTGTGTGTGGTTTTTAATGTGCATTTCTCCGGTGACTAGTGAAGATAAGCCCTTTGTCCTATGTTTATTGCCTCTTTTGTAAAGTGTCCATGCAAGTTTTTTGCCAACTATGGGATTATCTGCCTTTCATTCGGAATCACAGGAGCTCTTTGTCTATTGTGGACATGAGCCCGTTGTTGGATATGTTCATATATTATGAATGTCTTCTCCCACTGTGTGTCATCTTTCCATTTTAAAGTGGGGGACTGAGGCCCAGAGAGGAAGTGCAGGATCCTCTCGGTCTTTTTTTTTTGACACAGGGCCCAGGCGGGAGTGCAGTGGCACAATCTCGGCTCACTGCAACCTCTGCCCCCCAGATTCAAGTGATTCTCCTCCCTTAGCTTCCCGAGTAACTGGGATGCACGACCATGCCCAAATAATTTTTATATTTTTAGTAGAGATGGAGTTTTATCATCTCGGCTGGGCTGGTCTCGAACTCCTGACCTCAAGTGATCCGCCTGCCTCAGCCTCCCAAAAGTGCTGGGATTACAGGCGTGAGCCACCGTGCCCGGCCTCCTCTCCCTCTCTTGCACCTCCCTCTTTTTCTTTCTCTCTCTTTGGTCACCCCATGGTGCAGAAACATTCTTTGATGACTCCCATCACAAAATGCCCTACAGGCACCCTCCCTGCTCCCCACAACCTCCTCCCACCCCACCCGTCCCAGCAGAGCTCACCCCAGGGTGCCTGCCTGTGCCCTCTCTTGCTTCCTGGGCTCTATCTCGCCACAGCTGTGCTGTCAGGCATTGGTGCAGCATCCCCCATCAGACACTGCGGGCGGCCCCTCCTGCTCTCTGCTGTCCTCCTTGGAGCAGCCTCCTCAGCCTCCTGACACCAACAGCCCACTGTGTACCACTGGGCCTGATTCCCTTGCCTTGCCCATTTCCTTTGATAGAGAGAAACGGTCAGATATGGCAAGTCCTGTCTGTTGACCATTTCCCGCCAGCCTCTGCCATCCCTTCTCCTGCAGTTGTGTCCTGATGGGGCTCAGGCCAGAACCATCCTATCAGACAGAATCTGCACCAGGTCCCCTGGGTTCCCTGCCCACTGACGAGGCTGTGGGCTGGCACAGTCGGGCCTTGCCCTCCTTCCTGTGTTGGCTCAGAGAAGCTCTAGGATTAGAGCAGCCCTTCTGGGGTCCTTCCAGGTCGCCCCTGTCCACACACCACGTCTGTGGTGTCTGTTCATGTGGAATGTCCCTTGGGGCCTCCTCGGTGCTGTCTGCATACGAAGAGGCTTGATCTTGTTGATTGCACAGGTGGCAGGAGGATGCTTGTTTCCTTGGGATTCCCTTTTTGGCCTATGGGATGGGGGTGCTCTGCCCAGGATGTCAGAGACTTCCCCGTTTGGGGGCCCTGCCACACTCACAACCCCTCACGCTCACCTGGGAGCCCCTGGCACTTGCCCTACCCCCAGGCTGGGCACAGGCAGCACCTCTTTTCCCCTCAGCACATCCCACAGCCTGGCATTTTCTGAAAAGCTCAACCAAGAAATGGAGGGAACACTAGAGACCTTAATAAGTCAAGGACATCTGGATTCGGGACTAGATTTAATCCCAGCACCTTGGAGGCCAAGGTGGAAGGATCACTTGATATCAGGAGTTCAAGATCAGCTGGTAACATGGCAAGATCTCCATCTCCATTTCAATTTTTCTAAAAAAAGTTTAAGAAAGAACAAAATACTGGTGGGATGCAGTGCTGGGCTGAGGATTCAGGCCAAGGCGCAGCCAGCCCTTCATGCTGGCCCCCAGCCACCCCGGGGACCACAGGCGGCGCCTTCGCCCCACTCGGGTCAGGAGGGCTAGGCCTGGATGTCCATCTCCTAGAATCCCCTGCTTATTCTCATGGGTCTGTGACTGCCAGCCTGGAGGCTTTGCCCAGGGTCTCCTTGGGAGCTTTGTGGAGTGGGGCTCCAGAGCCCCGTCTTTGAGATTTTGATCCGGGAGGTCTGTCCTGGGTCTGGGCTTCTAACATCGCCCAGGTGACTGATGAGCGCCGCTCACTCGGACAGTGGGGACACCTGCCGCGCACCTTTGCTTCCCACATTCCATCCTGGAGAAGCGTAAGGCCCCCTCCTGCCCCGAACAATGCGTGTCCCTCCCTGTCTTGGTCCCCACCACCCATGTCTTCTCTGTTCTCAGGGAGACTCCGGGGGTCCCCTCGTCTGCCCGTTAAATGGCACCTGGTTCCTGATGGGGCTGTCTAGCTGGAGCCTCGACTGCCGCTCACCCATCGGCCCCAGCGTCTTCACCAGGCTCTCCTACTTCACCAACTGGATTAGCCAGAAGAAGAGGGAGAGTCCCCCTCTGGATCCTGCCTTGGCTCCTCCTCAGGAGATGCCCCCAGCCCTGGACAGCATGACCTCTCAGGGTACCGTCTATAAACCCGGGCTCTGCACAGCCCTTCCGGCTGCTCACACCCTCCTCCTGCTGCTGATTCTGCTGGGGAGCCTGTGAAGGGCCAGGGCCCCTGGCCTCCTAACCACAAGCTTGTCCACCTCAGGCCGGCCTCCTTGCTGAGCTCTGCACGCTCCTGACGTGTTTCCATCTCTGGGCTCTTCTGTCCACCCAAGGCCACCCCTGCCCCAGGCCTGACAAAATAAAAACCACCCAAGAAGCTTCTTGCTCTGGTTTCTGGCCCACCAGAGCCATCTCCCACACTCCACTGTGTCTCCAGCTCCTCAGGGAGGGAAGGTCTCCCTCCTCCCCGGGCAGGGATATGGGAGCCAAGTCACTCTCCTTGGGGAGTTGGGTCGCGCAGACTCAGGCCCCGTTCCTGTCCTCCAGGGCATGCAGACTTCCAGAAAAATGGGGCCAGGGCCTCCCCACATGGAAGCAGCCGCCTGTCCTCCTGGAGCTAGGTGCTGTGCGCTGGTCAGGGATGAAGTCGTATCTTCCAGGCACACAGGTCACAGAGGCTCTCCTCGACAGCTTGCCAGTAAACTGTGAAGGGGGCTGAGGTCTTGGGTCAGCCGTCCCAGAGTTCTGTACCAGGGGTCAGCTCTCAGCTGACTGCCCCCTGTACTCACAGCCCTGCCCTCTCCCTGCCTCCAGAAACCCAGCCCCCACCTTGTGGCTCCAGTTTATAGGGGTTGCAGCTTGGCTGACCCTGGACTTGCTGGTCCAGCACTGAGCCCATAACCCAGACTCTGAGTTGCCCCTGCAAGCCTGTCTGAGTCAGGTTTGTATCCAGCGAATCAGCAGGACTCTCGAAGGGCCTCACCACAGCTCTCCCCCAATCCCCAACCTGAACTCACAATGAAAGGGGGGGCAGCCAGCCGGGCGCGGTGGCTTTCACCTGTAATCCCAGCACTTTGGGAGGCCAAGGCAGGCGGATCATGAGGTCAGGAGATTGAGACCATCTTTGCTAAAATGGTGAAACCTCATCTCTACTAAAAATACAAAAAATTAGCCGGGTGTGGTGGCAGGTGCCTGCAGTCCCAGCTGCTCGGGAGGCTGAAGCAGGAGAATCGCTTGAACCTGGGAGGTAGAGGTTGCAGTGAGCCAAGATCATGCCACTGCACTCCGGCCTGGGCGACAGAGCAAGCCTCCATTTTAAAAAAAAGAATAAATGAGGGTTCTGTGAATGAGAGGCTGAGAGGCCTTGGTGGTGATCACAAGGGTGCCTTGCCTTACAATAATTTATTAAGAGCTATCTTTGTTTTGGATTCTTTTCTACCTATTCATTTTATGTAAAAATAGTTTTAAACAACTCGTAATTATTGTTGTATATAAAAACTTACAACATAAAATGCAAAAAATATCACCAAAGCAAATTCGAAATCTATACCATTAGTAAACTAAATAACTAAGTATCACCAAAGCTAATTCTAAATCTATCCCATTCGAAAACCAAATCACTAAGTTAGCTGATTTGAGAGACAGGTGTTCAGGGAGGAGCTGCGTGGCAGTTGCTGTCCTTCAGCCAAGCGTCTGATTGAAGCTTCAGCTCCTCCGAGGCTCGGCCTTTGACCCTCTGGTCACGGTCAGGTCACAGTCACAGCCTTTGCAGGGTGAATCCCAGGATCTGCAACACAAATGCAGGTGCTAGAGTCACTGGGGAGGCACAGATGTGGCTGGAGGAACCTCAGGCTGTGTGTGGCATGTCAGCCTTGGGCCCTGACATCCAGGCATCAAGGTCACAGGGCGCTGAGGCCTTTTTTCGCCTCAGTGCTGAGGGTGTGGGCCATTGCACACAGAGGCAGTTTAACCTGGGCGTTTAGCTGGGCAGCTTGTAGCTGACTGGTCCCCTGGACAGTGAAACGGATGCCGAAGGAAGAGAAGGTCCCAAGACTCTGGGATGAAAATCAGAGTCCCACACACCTGGGCTGGGTGAGGAGCCAATTAGTCTCAGGTCTCCTGGAACAGGCTGGAAGAGGCAACCTTTCCTTCCACTCCTCCACTCAATACAACCATGTCATGAGATCTTCATGTTAAAGATGAATAGCTCCTGGCCAGGAGCGGTGGCTCATGCCTACAATTCCAACACTTGGGAAGGACGAGGCAGGAGGCTTGCTTGAGGCCTGGAGTTTGAGACAAGCCTGAGCAACACGACAAGATCTCATTGCTACAAAATATACAACTAAAAAAAGTGGCCAGGCTTGGCGTCTCATGCCCGTAATCCTAGCACTTTGGGAAGCTGAGGTGGGTGGATCATTTGAGCCCACGAGTTGGAGACCAGGTTGGCCAACATGGTGAAATCCTATCTTTACTATAATAAAAATACAGAAATTAGCCAGCCATGGTGGTGTGCGCCTGTAATCCCAGCTTCTCCGGAGCCTGAGGCAGGAGAATCCCTTGAGCCCAGGAGTCTGAGGCTGCAGTGAGGTGTGATCACGCCACTGCACTCCAGCCTGGGTGATAGAGCAAGACCCCGCCTCCTAAACAAGAAAAGAGTTTCCTGGAGCTCTTTCTTTGTCCCCTAATGATAATTTTTCTTTCTATAAACACAACCACCAAACTTTCCATTTTAAAAGCACATGCGCTGGTAAGAAAAACATAGTTCTATGGTTAACAGTATGTTCCAACATGAAAATGTTACAGAAGATACTGCTGTTTAAATGTGAAAAATCGACCTATATTGATTTTTATTCATTTACAAAATTGGGAAACAGGTAAAAGGAACATAAGTAATGTCTTAGTCTGTTTGGGCTGCTATAATAAAATGCCATAGGCTGGATGGCTTGTAAAGAACAGAAATGGCCGGCCGTGGTGGCTCACACCTGTAATCCCAGCACTTTGGGAGGCAGAGCTGGCTGGATCACAAGGTCAGGAGTTCAAGACTAACCTGGCCAACATAGTGAAAACCTGTCTGTACCAACAATATAAAAATTTGCCAGGCGTGGTGGTGGCACCTGTAGTCCCAGTTACTTGGGAGGCTGAGGCAGGAGAATGGTGTGAACCCGGGAGGCGGAGCTTGCAGTGAGCCAAGACTGCGCCACTGCACTCCAGCCTGGGCGACAGAGCGAGACTCTGTCTAAAAAACAAAAAACCCAGAAATTTAGTTGTCACAGTTCTGGAGACGTGAAGTCTAATTTCAAGGTGCTGGCCAATTTGATGTCTGGTGAGGACCCACTTCCATAGATTATGCCTTCTGGCTGTGTCCTCACTTGGCAAAAGGGTTGAGGGGGTCTCTGTGGGGCAAACAATTCTATTTAAACACAATGTATTTCACACATATACATGAGCCAGAAGGAAACTCAAACCAGGGGTCTGTTTGAAGTTTTTTGTTTTGTTTTGTTTGAATGGAGTCTCACTCTGTTGCCCAAGCTGGAGTGCAGTGGGGTCAATCTCTGCTCACTGCAACCTCCACCTTCCAGATTCAAGTGATTCTTCTGCCTCAGTCTCCTGAGTAGCTGGGATTACAGGCATGTGCCACCACACCCAGCTAATTTTTGTATTTTTAGTAGAGATAGGGTTTCACCATGTTGGTCAGCCTGGTCTTGAACTCCTGACCTCGTAATCCACCCACCTCAGCCTCCCAAAGTGCTGGGATTACAGGAGTGAGCGCCACCGTGCCTGGCCGTCTGTGCTTTTATTTATTCATGTATCTGGGACAGAGTCTCACTCTGTCTCCCAGGCTGGAGTGCAGTGGTGTGATCAGGGCTCCCTGCAGCCTCTACTTCCCGGGCTCAAGTGATCCTCCCTCTTCAGCCTCCCGAGTAGCTGGAACCACAGACGCACACCACAACGCCTGGCTAATTTTTAAAAACTTTTTTGTAGTAAGGAATCTCATGTTGCCAGGCTGGTCTCCAACTCCTGGGCTCAAGTGATTCCCCTGCCTTGGCCCCTCAAAATGCTGAGATTACAGGGGTGACCCACTGTGCCTGGCCTCATATTTATATTTACTCAAAATGACAGCCTTGACAGGTTTCCTTGCAAAGGTGTGCAGAGCACAGCAAGAATTTCAACCAGTAGACTGGGCAGACTCAGGAGGGGCCTGGCACCTCCTCCCGCATCCCCTGCGGAGCTTTTCTCAGTCTGCGCCTCCCCGAGCAGGCAGAGGGCCGTGTGCGGTCCGGACACTCCTCCCTGAAGAGCCCCTCATGTATTACAGTGTTTCCTGTTCACCACACAGGAATGGCGGGCAGGAGTGAAAGAGACAAGGCTTTCCACACCAGAACGGCATTTCCTATTCTTGGCAACACTGTTTAAAGCCAAGTATTAGACCCCAAATGGTGAAATCTGGAGGAAGATTCCCCCAGCTCTGCCTGGTGAGCTGCTTTTCCCTGAGGTTCTCAGCAGCGCTGGGTGGATGCAGCTGCACCGGGGTCTGACGGTAGAAGGCAGGAGCCCTGTCCTGCATTGAAGCTATTGAGATCCTGGAAGGGCTGACTGAGGTCGCCTGTAATACCAGTGGGAATGAGGGAGGGGCAGGAGTGATGCTGCAGTGGGGGAAGTTTCTTTTATTAAAAAAAATATATATATATTATTTAATTTTAACTTTAAAATTTTTGAGACAGGGTCTTGCTGTGTAGCCTGGGCTGGAATGCAGCAGTGCCATCATATTATAGTTCACCGCAGCCTCTACCTCCGGGGCTCAGTGGTCCTCCTGCCTCAGCCTCCCGAAGTGTGGGGATTACAGGGGTGAGCCACTATACCTGGCTGGAAGCTTTCATTTGATGCTAGAAGTGTCTGAGGGAGCAAAGACTCTGAGATGACTGAAGTCTCAGGCCTGGCAAGCACCCCCACACAGGGAGGCTCAGGAACAAGGATTAAAATGATAATGGACATCAAACTTGTAGTGGAGGTTTACAGTCTCTCCTAGACAGCAGAGAACGTGCCTGGGGGTTGGAATCAAGGAACCGAACTGCAGCCCCCTGGTTTCCCGTTCGCCGGCTTCGGGACCTGCTGGATTCTCCCACCTCCTCAAGCCTGGGTTTCCGCATATGTCAAACAAAGACCATAAAGTGGCTTTTCTTTCATCGTGATCTATCACGTGCCATGAGGGAAAAATACAAAGGTCTGCCTGGAGGTGAGATTTATTATTAAATGAAGACATTGATTCAGTGACAGATTTGGAAGCAGGGTGTGTCTGTTTAGAACCCAGTGAGCGTTTTCTGGGTGGTGATGAGATTTCCCCTAGGTTTACTGAGGTGCCCTTGGCAGGGAGTAAACCTCAGAGGCAGCAGCAGGCTGTGGAGCACAATGCTGGGTCCGAGCAGATGCCGGTTACTCACCATCCTCGTCTTGGCTCTGGGCCGTGCCCCGCCAACGAGACAGAAAGTCACCCCACCAGCATCGCTGGAGCTTCAGCAAGGACAACCCAGGAGCAAGGCCTCAGTGAGTCTTAGTCCGTGGTGGCTCTAATGGCGTGAACAGCTCTTACTTGTTTTTAATGTGGGTTTTATTGTTATTTAGGTAGGACAAGAATGCAGACATGGAAATGATGAACAGATAGTTTGTTATATTCACAGGGCAAGAGGACAGGCCACCCCACATCACACAGGGCCACATGGAGAGGCACCAGGGTCGGTCAGGAAGCAAAGGGAGCAAGGGGAAAATGTACCAGGCAACTAGGGACAGCCCCTGTGCCCTGGAGTCTGCAGAAATGACTCACTAGCCAACCCTACACTATCTGCCCCTGCCTCCTTCCCACAGAAGTCACAGTACAGACTCCTGCCCACGGTGCCCGCTCCCTCTGCCTCCCGGCCCACCCTGGGGCTGCCCCATGTGGCCCTGCAAGACACACCTCCTGTTTCTACATGAGTATACACACTTTTTCATCATCATTTCCAGGTCTGCATTCTTTTTTTTTTTTTTTTGAGGTGGAGTCTTGCTCTGTCGCCCAGGCTGGAGTGCAGTGGCGTGATCTCGGCTCACTGCAAGCTCCGCCTCCCGGGTTCATGCCATTCTCCTGCCTCAGCCTCCCGAGTAGCTGGGACTACAGGCGCCTGCCACCACGCCCGGCTAATTTTCTGTATTTTTAGTAGAGACGGGGTTTCACTGTGTTAGCCAGGATGGTCTCGATCTCCTGACCTTGTGATCCACCCGCCTTGGCCTCCCAAAGTGCGGGATTATAGGCGTGAGCCACCACGCCCGGCCCATGTCTGCATTCTTACCTTACCTGATTAAAACGAATCTCATTTGAAAACGAACTGATTCAGCAAATAAATCACTCATGTCAACAAACTGGTAACATTCTCACATATATAGTGCCAAAGTTGAGCTGTTTCAGGTAATTAACATAATTTGTATAAGGATTAGAAATATCTCTACAGTAGATCACATTTCAGATTTAATGGCAATAAATTTGTTGGAGAGGCCGTGAGTTAGGATGCAACTCCGTTTGTCAAATCATGGTTGCATCACAACCGTAGGTTTGAGTCCAGATAGACGATCTGATAAAAATCAACAAACGCATATAGGCTCTATGGAATAAAGAGTATTGTATATTTTGTTATTACTTGTGAATTCTGTGCTATAATGTACTTTATATCACTAAAACTTATAATAAAGTGATATCGGCCGGGCGCAGTGGCTCACGCCTGTAATCCCTGCACTTCAGGAGGCTAAGGCGGGTGGAACACGAGGTCAGGAGATCAAGACCATCCTGGCTAACACGGTGAAACCCTGTCTCTGCTAAAAATACAAAAAAATTAGCTGGGCGTGATAGCGGGCGCCTGTAGTCCCAGCTACTTAGGAGGCTGAGGCAGGAGAATGGCGTGAACACGGGGGGCGGAGCTTCCAGTGAGCCAAGATTGTGCCACTGCACTCCAGCCTGGGCAACATAGTGAGACTCTGTCTCAAAAAAGAAGAAAAAAAAGGTTATATCAGCATACTGATGCACCTTTTTTGTTTCTGGAGAGCCAGTTCTTACACACTGAGCAGCACATCCTTCCCCGTGGGAGTGCTGCAGACATTTCCCAGCCAGCACTCCACTCACTTGGCAGCATTCTGCTTCTGGGGATCCAGCTAGCTCCGTGGCCACAAACTTCCATAGCACTGTGCCGGGGTTCCGAAGGGGTCCAGGAGCTGGCCAGATCAGTGGGAGTCGAGCAGGTGTAACTGTGGGAGACACAGCCCCTTGTTTTCCTTTCCCCATAACAGGCAGTCCAAGTGAGAGGAGAAGTGCCTGTGCATAGAAAGCTTATCAAACTTAATTTTAAATACTCAAAACTGAATTCCACGGAAAAGTCACTCCCAGAAACTTCTGCTGGTGTGATGTATGGCTGTATGTGCCGGAGTGGCTTTGCAGACAACGGAAACTGGGAAAATATCCAGAGGCTGCTTCTGAATGCTTACAGCCAGAAAAGTCCATTTGGTTCTAGGCTAGAGTGGGGAAATTGTGATGTGGCTGAAAGGAACAAGAGTGCCCCTCGGCCGGCAGGCATGCGCTGGGGCTCTGAAGTGAAACTCCGACATAGGCATGGGCTGAACATACCAGCCCTGTGCTGGTGTAAATCCTTATGCACCCCATGTATCTCCTCCCAGTATCCCTGGCGAGTGGCTCCCTCGGAGAGGACGTGTGAGGACAGATTTTTCTCTTCTGGGATGTGTGGGGGATGACTGAGCCAGGGCTAAGCTGGCAAGTAAAGTGCAGCTTCTACAAACACTGCAGAATGGACACAGCTGGGGACTGCTCTGGGAAGGGAGGTGCCCTCCCTCCATCCGCGTGAGCAAACCCAGGGCTGTGAACAGGCTCTTCCCAGCAAGGGGTGCTGGCAGATAGTGGCCTAGGGGATGTCTCTATTTGTCCTCCTCAACCGCAAGGGACAGATAAGATCTGGGACACATTTATATGACGCTAACAGCCATGAGCCCAGCATTGCTCTTTTCTCTCCTGAGAAGTTTCTCCTTTTTAACAGTCTCCCTGGACGCCTGGGCTGTGAAAAGAAAATGCCTTTTATCCTCAAACTCTCCTTGTCTTTTCAGGGCTAGGTAGGTAAAGGCTTTTCAATTAGTAGACAGATAAATGGTGACTCTGACTTTCTTGCCTATAATCAAGAATCATTTCACTGGAAGGATCCTTTCTAGTATTCCAGTACAGAAATCCATAGAGCCTGATTTCTAATTTTCTAATTAAAACATATTTATACCCTAGATATTCATACTAATATTGAACAGTTCTGGTTTCCTTTTAACCACAACTGTGACCCCTCAGTTCCATTTCCTAAGTGCACCTACTGAAAATAAGGCAGTGTCTTTTTTGCCTGGCAATGTTGTAAAAAATAGGCATTCTGTAAACACAAATTTTATGAATAGCATATACATATTCATCAAGCTCTTAGGATAATTTGCAAAGTTTATCACTTGTTTATTCCTACAATAAACTGAAATAAAAGGCACTGCTCAGAATGCACTTGAAACTACCTTAAGACAACTTTGGTATAAAAAAATACATATATATAAAAAACATATATATGTATTTTTTTGTCACTTTGTTGCCCAGGCTGGAGTGCAGTGCCACAATCTCAGCTCACTGCAAGCTCCGTCTCCTGGGTTCACACCATTCTCCTGCCTCAGCCTCCCGAGTACCCCGACTACAGGCGTCCGCCACCACGCCCGGCTAATTTTTTTTTTTTTTTTGTATTTTTAGTGGAGATGGAGTTTCACCGTGTTAGCCAGGATGGTCTCGAGCTCCTGACCTCGCGATCCGCCCACTTCGGTCTCCCAAAGTGGTGAGATTACAGGCGTGAGCCCGGCCTCAAAACATATTAATGCCTAGAAATATTTATGTCTTAAAACTTGAATAATTATTTTTCTCATGAACCAATGAACTCCAAGCCAGCCCTCTAATGAAGTTCTACTCTATTTTTAATACTCATTTGAATGTTATGTTAAATTCGTATTTTCATAGCCACTAGTTGAAAAGATTGAAAATGCCAATAAACTGATTGACAATATAAAACGTAAAAGTAATTGTGTCACGCAGGCTCGTGAACTACCGTGCATTTTAAAAGCTGAAGCGCTCAATTCAAGTGTCCTTTACCTGAGGTGCTCGCTCATTCCGCATGGCCAAGCCTGTGTGGTGCGGCCCGGCCTGGCGTGCTCAGCTCGCGGCGCCCATCGCCCCGGACAGGCTGTGGAAGTGGCCTGAGAAGCGGCGCTGGGGAGACGGAGGAGGCTGCCTGGGGCTCTGTAGGCTGAACTCTGCCTGCCTCGCTTTGTGGTGGGTTCCGCAGCAGACGCGCCCCGCTTAAGGGAGGTGTTGTGAAAGGAAGGTGCTAACTGTCGGGGGAAGGAGGCGGTGCCAGGCTTTCTGGCTCCAGCTTTGGCTCCTTGCTGTTGTCCTGCTGTCTCTACCTACAGGTCCCAGTCGTGCTGGGGACACACGGATCTGGATCTGGATCTGGAGCCAAAGGCGCTTTCATGAAAATGTTTATTACCCCGTAAAAATATCCACCCAGCGCTTCAGCTTACGGTAAACTAAACACACCTATTATTTACAACAGTGAAAAGGAAAGGCGATGCCCAGGTCCCGGCCTTCCGCAGGGGGCGCCGCTCCCGCTGCAGGACGGAAGGCACGAGGGAGCGAGGGTGCGCGGGCGCGTCCGGGCGCAGGAGGCGGTGCAGGAGCGCGCAGGGCAGCAGGAGCAGCAGGCTGGGCGCGCCCCCGGCGCCGCGCCCTGGAGCGTGGGAGGCCAGGAAGTCTTTCGGGTCTGGAAAAAAAGACAAACCGGAGATGTATGAATACAGCGTTGCGGCTCGGTTTGAGGGCGTGCAGTAGAATCGCCTGCGCCCCGCCTTCTGCAGGCCCTTTTCTCCTAAGCCTTCACTAGGCTCCACCCCTGGGCCGCACTGTAGGGCGAGGTGTGCGGGGGCTGGTACCTGCCGGCTGCACGGAGGGTTTCCTCTAAATGTGTGTAGAACTCAGAGCGCTGAAGGAGAATTACAGTACTGTTTTTAAAGGGGAACGAAGAACAGCCCTTCCGTCTTTCTCATTTGGCCTATGACCTTTCAGGGAGTCCCGCTCCAGGTCATTGAGCGATTGGGCAAATAGACCCGATTTAAAACAGTGCTGTGGTATATGAATCAGCTCACCTCCATCTGCTGCAACAAAGGTTCCACTTTTCCCCAAATGAGTGCTCGAAATATTTCTTTGACGAGGGACAGCTGATGGAGCAGGAGGGTGCAGCCACTCAAAGTCTGGTTGCTGTTCTGAGGAGGCCTAGCCCTGTGAGTGGCGCCGCGCCCGCCCGATGGGACTCAACTGCTGCCCCCCTCTCCACACCGCTGGTCACAGGAGGCCATGCCTGAACGCCTAGTCCCTGTCTCCCCTCCCCACCCCTCACGGCAGGCCTCATTCAGGCTGAACCCTGAGGGTCCTTGAGCCTTGGTCTCTATGTAGCTGGGAACAGCGGAATGGGAATCTCTGGAGTGGTGGGGCTGGGCAGGGTCTTGGCTAATGCCCTGGGTGGTGATTGCCATGTGAAGTGGACAACCTTGCAGGCATGGCAGCCAACACCACTAGAACGTTGTCACAAGTGAGTTCAGGCCTGGCTTGGAGGGGGGTCAGGCTGGTGGAAGAGCATGGCCAACTACAGGGACCCTCTCCCCGGCGCAACTGAGCAAACGCCAGCCACCTCCCCACCCGCCGACCAGGCCTGCCCCACCCTCTACTATACCTCCAGGAGATGCCCTCTGGACTTGGGAACCTGGCATGAGTATGAAACTGGAAATTAACAAGGAATGATGCAGACGAGCACCTGCAGCAAGAACCACTCTACACCTGTCCACAGGTAGGCTGTGGTGGCATTGCCCAGGTCAGGCTCACTCCAGGCTTGGGTGCCACCTCCCCATAGCACCCCACCTTGGGAGAGAGGGTTGTTCCAGGGGTGCCGGAATCCCCAAACAGGAATGCTAACATCTAGGTTCAGACGAGGCTCCAGAGAAGCTGATGCTAAGACAGGCGCTCACAGCATGTGAAGCTATTCAGGTGGGAAAGGGGTCAGCAGTACTGGGTCTGTGCTGGCCTTCCTCTGATAGAAGGAAACAGGAGGGCTGGACACAGGGTGCATGCTTACAGACTCAGAGCCAGCTGGACCTGTGAGAGCCATTCCAATGGCATCCCTGAGGTCTGTAGACTGGGTCTGGCCCACGGATGTTTGTTTGCCTGTTGGTTGGTTGGTTGGTGGGTTTTTGCCAGAATTGCATTTTTAAAAATTAGTTTGCAGCAGTGAGGTGAGTCCTGACCTGGCCCTGTCTCACTTCTGTGTTACCTGCCCATCTCTGAGGACACCTGACTTGGCTACATCACTGTGTCATTGTATAGACTCTAAATTTTAGAGTCTATGGAATTAAATTGTGTCTTGATACTTGTGAAAACTGATACTTGATGCTGTAGGGCCACAGTAGAAAGAGCCACCCCCTCAGACTAACAAGGAGATCCTGGCTAGCTCAGGACTGGGGAAAGGTCCCTGCTATATGGAAGCTTTTCATTCTTGGACCTGCAGAGCATCAGTCAGAGCAATGAGGGCTCTTGGAGATCCCCAGACAGAGAGTCCCTGCAGGAGCCAGGGGGCCACAGTTTTGTAGCAACATTCTATCTTCCACATACTCTTCGAAACCATCGTAATCTCCCATTAAAGGATTTAAAACATTTACTTACCTATTACTGTGCTGTTGGCTTTGGAACATGACCAGACTTTCTATATTCTATACAACACTATAAAAAATATCTTCATGTGTTTCATATTTATTCTTTCTTTTCTTTTTAAGAGAGAGGATCTCGCTCTGTCACCCAGGTTGGAGTGCAATCATAGTTCATTGTAACCTCACACTCCTAGGCTCAAGTGATCCTTCTGCCTCTCAGCCTCCCAAGTAGTTGGGATCACAGGTGCTCGTCACCACACCTGGCTAATTTTAAAAATTTTTTGTAGAGACAGGTCTTGCTATATTGCCCAGGCTGTTCTCAAACTCCTGGCCTCAAGCAATCCTCCCACCTAAGCCTCCCAGAGTTCTGGGATTATAGGCATGAGCCATTGTACCCAGTCATATTGATAATTACTCTTATAGAAAGAGTACAAGAATGGGCTGGGCATGGTGGCTCATGCCTGTAATCCCAGCACTTTGGGAGGCTGAGGTGGGTGGATCACGAGGTAAGGAGATCAAAACCATCCTGGCTAAGATGGTTAAACCCCGTCTCTACTAAAAATTAAAAAAAATAAAAAATTAACCAGGTGTGGTGGCAGGCACCTGTAGTCCCAGCTACTCAGGAAGCTGGGGCAGAATGGTGTGAACCCTGGAGGCGGAGCTTGTGGTGAGCCAAGATCGTGCCACTGCACTCTAGCCTGGGCGACAGAGCGAGACTCCATCTCAAAAAAAAAAAAAAAAAAAAAAAAAAAAGAGTACAAGAATGGCACAAGGTTAAGAATCAGAATCAGACCCTTTTTACTATCTGTAGGAGTTGATCTGTCTGTGTCTCAGCTTCCCCAAATGTAAAAGGTGTACCTACTTCATTGGCTTTTGTAAGAGTTAAATGGGATAATGGGTATATAAAGTGCCTGAAATACACTGAGAGCTCCTCTCCTGCTGTAACACCCAGAAGAGCTTGCCCTACTGCAATGGCACCTGCCACGGAGGATGTTCCATCTATCATTGCCCTTGTGAACTTGAAGTCATCATAACCACCATCTGCACAGCCATCACAAGCATCACTGTAACTTGCCTTGAAGCAGGATGAATGGGTAAAAGAACACAAAGGTGTTACTACCCTCTCTGCACGTGACAGATGACTCTGAAGGATGACTGTACTATTTCGTCCAGCTTTGATGAACAGAGGCCACATTTTCAGAGCCATTATCACTGTCCTTGGTAAATAGCAGTCCCAGCACTGGATGTTTCCAAGAATGTAAAATCGTGACCAGATATCCTGGAAGTCATCACAGTTAGTCCGTTCCCCACGTTCCAACCTGGGCGGTCTAATGGCAGGTGGGAACTGACTTCATCTGTGAGGACCACACAAGCACCCGCTGTGATTCTGATGCCTGTCCGTGAAATCTGTGTCTTCCTGTCTCTGGGGCCTAGAGGAGCAGCTGGTGACTCAGAGGCAGAGGCCCAGCAAAAGGAGCACATATATAAGAGGGGGTGCTTTGGGAAAATGTGGGAAGTGGGGTTAGGGGCTGTGCCTGTATTAAGAGTGTTCCTTGACTGCTGGTCCTACCAGGGAGAGAAGAGAGGACAGGAAGGTGAAGGAGAGCTAAGCATGCATTAAGTGTTCTCCTCCACTGTGGGGCCTCCAAGAGCAAGAGGGAAGCTGAGGGAGCCGGGTTGAAGATCTTTGGCCACTGGTGCTGCCCTCCACACAGCCCTAGCAGGATGGCCTGAGGACGACAGGTGGGAAGTGGGGTTGCAGGGCTGTGCCCTTTGACAGATGGAGGTTCCCAGGGCTGACTGAAGTGGAGGGAGGGGGCAGGAGAGTGGCTCGGGGGCCTTGGCTTCATCAGGCGTGCCCCTGGACACTGCACCACCAGACCACCCAGGCCTGGGAGAGGGCAGAGCCAGGGTTGGGGCCGAGAGGCTGGGCCTTCACTGGCTGTGCCCTCCATTGCTAGTGCCAGCCAGTGCTTGCCAAAGAGGAGAGGCGAGAAGGCACAGGATTCCAGAAAGAAATGCCGTGCTGCCAATGCCGTGCTGCCTGTGCCCCTGCTGGTCCCACAGCTGAGCTGATGGTGCTGGCCTAGTGCAGAGAAACCACCTGAGATTTACACAGCTAACTTGTCTCCCAGATTTTTCTCCGATTACCAGTTGGTCATCTCCTGAAATTCCGCTCACTGAAACGGACACGTGAGGACACTGGAAATCATTTTTAAACTCAGCAATCTGGATAGGAGCAACTTCAAACCAAAATTTAATTCACTATATGATTCCCAATGAATGCGATTTTCTTCAATGATGAATCCATCTAGTTTGCTGAATGCTATGTGGCCTGGCAATGGAAGATGCACTGTGGATCGGTATGGAGGGTGAGCTGCAGTGAAGGCGCAGCAGTGTGTGGTATGGTGGTGAGCTGGGGACCGAATTGCAGGGCCTCTTACCACAGCTGCCAGGAGTCTGGAGGGGAAGGCAGTGCAGGGTCCCGAAGAGGCACCTGCAGAGGTTGCAGCCGCGGAGGGTCCAGGCTCCATGCTCCAGGGCACCGCATTCACTGAGAAGACCCGGACCTGCGTCAATGCGGTGGCCTGCGTGCCCCTCGCCCGGCGCCCACTCCCGCGCCCCCCGACCCGCACGCCCCTCGCGCGGCGCCCACTCCCGCGCCCCCGACCCGCACGCCCCTCGAGCGGCGCCCACTCCCGCGCCCCCCGACCCGCACGACCCTCGCCCGGCGCCCACTCCCGCGCCCCCCGACCCGCACGGCCCTCGCCCGGCGCCCACTCCCGTCCTCCCCGCGCACCCCGCTGCCCACCTGCGCCTCTGGTCATGCTCGCAGTAGCGGCCGGTGAAGTGGGCCGGGCACACGCAGAAGCTGCCCAGCACGCAGGTGCCGCCGTTCCGGCAGCAGCGCGGCCTCGCGGACGCACCTGCGGGATCACCCGCGCGTCAGCCCCGCGCCCCCAGCGGCCCGTGGCCCTCCCGATTCTCCCGCAGGGACGGGGCCGAACGTGGCCGCCCCGGGGAGGCAGTAAAATCAGCTCCCCGCCAAGTGTGTTTGCTCAGGTAAACCCTGCTTGTTAGGGACATGAAACAAACGACCAGGGCTGCGGCCTGCAAACCCGGCTTGCTCTCTCCCTTCCTTTCACATGTTAACCTCTGGCTGTGGCTTCACCTGACAGTGATTAAGCACAGGCCTCCCGGGCGGGACCACCCACGGGTGTGATGACGCCAAACCCACCGGCGAGGGGCCTCCTGGGGACGCGGTGTCTGCGATAAGCCAAGCAAGGGCCCACTGTTATCTGGGCTTGGGATACTTATTTGCAACACATTTAAATCACAGTTCTCTACATCTGCAGCAGAATAGCCATTGAAGAGCAAACGTGGCGTTTTGCCAGTGAAAGAATAAAACTTTTTAACACCTCACTAGGAACTGTCTCTAGCTTTATAGCTTTATAAGTGCATCATCATTTGAAGACAACAAAATGCTCTCCTTGAATTTTATCCTGAATTTATACTACATATTCTTATATCCTAAACTCTGAGTCCGCAGACTGAGATGATGCCCCGGATTTTGTGGGCAGCACCGCAACTTACCCTCTCCGAAAGCCCGGGAGTAGGGGAGGGGCTCCTCTGGCCCCCAGCGCTGGGCGCTCCCAGTCACCTCCCCGGAATGACTGGAGGTCCAGTTGAGCGGTGACTGTTGGTGCTTCTGAGTGGCAACCTTGGTGACTTCCTCTCTACGGCCGTTATGTTTCTCTCTTTGATAGCCTTTAAAAAATACCGAAAATGTGAGATTGATAATGATTGAGAAACAAATATTTTATGCAATTAAAACTGAAATTATGAATAAAATGTATCTTACTGTTTCCCAAATTGATGATCTGTAATGCCAAACTGACCGTAAACAGAAACCTAGAATATTTAAAGAAAACCATTGAAGTTGAAAATGTCTTTAAAAGCATAAGCAGAAATTCACCTATACCTAAAAATACAATGCAGTCATTATATATAAATATAAAATTATGTAAAATAATTATAATGAATAAGGCAATCATTTTGTAACTTGTAGGTTTTTGTTAATTTTGCTATGGCTTAGAAAGATTTTCAGACAGAAAGTGTACACCTCCTTTAATGAACAGTGGCTCATGCACTACGATTGATTCTGAGGCTCTCAAGACCCCCCTCTTGGCTCTAAGATCTCATGACCTCTGTCCTTACCTGACATGGTGCCTCCAGGTCATTTTTGGTTTGAGAGTCTCTTTCTCTTAGTGCATTGAAGATCAGTTTCCAGGAAAGCTGAGTCTGGAGAGCCTCCGCATTTGAAGGTGTCTTTACTCCAGGCCCCCGGGACACAGAATGGACGAGTACGGAAGGTGTGGACGTTCCTTTCCCTTCCTCAGCCAGGAGAAACGAGATGGTATCTCGAGTTCTACAGCCCCTGAGCTAGGGTTGGGGGTGCAGTGACAGGCAGGCCCCTCCGAGCCTGAAGGACGATCCCCTCTGAGACCTGGCTGGGGGTGGGGACTTGGGCCGACTCCCCCCAGCAGTGTTTACAGTGCTGACAGCAGCAGGAGTGACCAATCCCTGGGGTAAAACATTGGTATCCAAGGTGACGAGCCATATTCTCACTGAAAAAAAAAAAAAAAAAACCCAACATGAACAAAAAGCTTTCATAGAAAGATGGAGATTTTCTATCGCGTACTCCTTGTACTGGGAGATGGTGAAGGGCCCTGCGGGAGAGGGAGCTGCTGTGTGGGGCACAGGCCACAGCCTGGGGTCCCAGCTGCCCTGAATGGGGAACACAAGGATAAGGGAAAGCATGTCCCCCCTGCTTTAAGAGAGTCCCCATCACTCCGCAGATAGTGCCTCTTCTCTGTGCCCAGCAAGTGGGGGAGGGGCACTGCCCCCATTTACTATAGGACCCTCTAGGGTAGGCACGACTATTATCCCCTACATGAAAAGAGAGATAGGGAGGCTTAGAGAGTTCCAGTCCCTTGGCAGTTCGATCTCTGAAAAACATGCATGGCACAGATATGATGAGATACCCACAGGTATTTAAGGCAACTACAGGGAGCCCTTGGGAGCACAGGGGCAACTGCAGCGCCCGCCTTCGCCAGAGGAGCCTGCTGAATCCAAACGGAACTCAAAGAGGGAGTGATTTGTGGTCTTTTCTAGCACCTTCTAAATCTGTTTTTCTAACTACGGGATTAGAGACTGAGGCCCTTTTATCAGCACTAAAGAAAACACTTTGCAACCCAGTGTTGCAAATTGTTCTGTGATTTTAATATTAAAACTTATTTCTAAAAATAGTATTCTTCCTCCAAGGCTGAAATAATCTTCAGTGGTGATTTAATTTCTTACACCTTTACATGTGAGGTTTATTAAAGAGGCTGTTGAATAAAGCAAAGGGAAATTGGAGGACCGGGCTGTCCTGGGGACCTCCCAGCAATGGGTCCTGTGGGCTGCCAGGACCAGGTCAAGGCCAGCAGACCTGAGTGGGCAGAGCACACGGAGGAAGGTGCCCCAGAACTTCATCAAGCATCAAGTAAGTGGAGTCATGAGACAAATACCTTGTTAATTTTGTTTTTTTAGAAGCAAAGTGTCACTCTGTTTCCTAGGCTGGAGTGCAGTGAGCGATCATAGCTCACCACATCCTCGAACTCCTGGGCTCAAGTGATCCTCCCACCCCAGCCTCTGAATGGCTAGGACTACAGGCTCGTTCCCCTATGCCCAGCTAATTTTTTTTTTATTTTGTGGAGATAGGGTCTTGCTATGTTGCCCAGGCTGTCCTCTAACTTCTGGCCTTAAGCGATCCTCCTGCCTCTGCCTCCCAAAGTGTTGGGATTACAGGCACAAACCCACCGTGCCCGGTGAAAAATACACTTTTTTTTTTTTGAGACGGAGTCTCACTCTGTCACCCAGGCTGGAGTGTAGTGGCGCGATCTTGGCTCACTGCCAGTTCCGCCTCCCGGGTTCACACATTTCTCCTGCCTCAGTCTCCTGAGTAGCTGGAACTACAGGCGCCCACCACCACGCCTGGCTAATTTTTTGTATTTTTAGTAGAGACGGGGTTTCACTGTGTTAGCCGGGATGGTCTCGATCTCCTGACCTTGTGATCCACCCGCCTCAGCCTCCCACAGTGCTGGGATTACAGGCATGAGCCACCGCGCCCGGTCAAAAAATACACTTTTAAACTCAATGGTTACTACTGGTTAATTACATCATTTAATTATATGTAAAAGTAAGTACATTTTATGACTTTAAATTAATAGAATCTTCTGCATGAGCTAAATTGTTTGTGTACTAAAATGAAGATGTATATAAGCTAGAGGATTGTATTTTTTGTCTAAATAAGTTTTAAAACTGTTCACTTTACAGAGTGATGTTGAAACCAAACTTCTCTGACAATACGAAAGCTTTAAAAGTGGCATCTAAAATCTAACTTTCCCCATAGTTTATTTATTAAATTTTACCTTAGTGGACTTTTCCAAACATACACAAAGGCTGGGAGAATGAGCCAATAAGCCCAGGTTCAGCAATTCAGTATCAGCCTTGGCCAATTTATCTCATTTGTTTCCTCCCTAACTTTTTCCTTGAAGTTTTAAAAACTCCAATACATCATGACATTTCATATGTAGAATAAGATTTTGAAAATCTTCACTTTATAAGTGGAAACTAGGAAAAAAAATGTCTTGCCAGCAAGACAGAACCGAGAGGCAAGAAATAGCAGTGCGATATGCTTAAGCTGCTTGCTTAAGCTCTGCAGTCGGCTCTGAGAAGGGCCGACGGCCTGGCGATAAAGCTTCTGATGACCTATTTTCGCCAAACTGTCACTTGCTCTCCACACAAAGCTTTGTGGTCCCAGGTTGCCACGTTGACTCAAAGGTCTTATAAAAGGGTTTTGCATTTTACTTCAGAGGAGCTGCCCTGTTTGCCATCAAGAGGCCCAGCTGGAAGCATTGCGGGGAGCACGGGAAGGGTGGAGGTGGGTCCCTGCCAGGAAAGGCCTCTTTCCTCCTTATCAGCTGTAAACAGATAAGGCTGGAGCCGACCCACGCATCAAAACTCCAGTGGAATGTTCTGGCTCATAGAGTGTGTGGGACCGGAACCCGTGCCAGGACTGGAGGCCCCGTTAGTGTTCTCGGCACATCCATCATGCAGGAAAATGCTCTGCAACAAGTTAGGTGTGAAGGGATTCTCTGAGGAGGACTTGAAAGCGATGGCTGTCCAAGCAGGCTGCCCCTGGCACCTGTGGGGAGTGAGAAACACCTTTCTCCATCCTCCTGGCTTCTTGGGCGGGGCTGCCGTCTGTCTCCACACATTTTCCTCATCTAGAGGTTGCATGTGAGGGGAATCATGCAGTATTTTCCTTTTGCGTCCGGCCTATGCCACATAGCATAATGTCTTAGGTCCGTCCGTGCTGTAGCGCCCATCAGAGCTTCACTCCTTTTGTGACTGAATAATAAATATTTCACGACACGCATCCACCTTGTTTTGTCTATTTGTCATCTGTTGACGCATACTTGTTTTTTCTACTTTTTGGAAGAGCACAGTGAGAAGACAGCTATCTACATGCCAATGAGGGAGGACGCGGTGGAACCCAAAACTGGTGACGCCTTGATTTCAGACTTCCAGTCTCCAGAGCAGTGAGAGGAAACATTTCTGTGGCTCAGGACTCCCAGCCTGCGGCATTTGGTTAGGGCCGCCCGAGCTGACGGATACACCAGGTGTTTGTTTTTCCGTGATTGTTATGTATTATGTAATTTAGTAATTTTTGCTGCATGTAGAGTGCATTTGTACTGGTGGCTTTCTGGAAGTACAGAGAACATCTTTTACGAAGGGTCCTTACACAGACATTTTCATTCACGGGGGAACTCTGCAGACAGCCCTCACAGGCAACGGCGTGAGTCCGGCTGATGTTCCTTTAAATCAAATGGTGAACCTGAACTGTTGTGTGGCGCTTCAGAAAGCCCAGCACAGTCTGAGATGCTTTTTGGCCACCAGGCAGCGACCATATTGGACAGAACATCACCTCTGCAAGCAGCCGGCATTCCAGCCTGAGTGACGGAGTGAGACTCTGCCTCAAAAAACACACAAACAAACAAAAAAAACAATGAATCATGTGAATCTGGGAGGCGGAGGTTGCAGTGAGCTGAGATCATGCCACTGCACTCCAGTCTGGGTGACAGAGCGAGACTCGGTCTCGAAAAAAAGAGAGAGAGATTGGATCTTTCAGGGAGACAGGCAGTCGCACGCTGAAGCACAGGCCTGGCGTGCAGGGGCCCTTCTGGGAGCGCAGGCTCAGGAGGGGAATCAGCCTGTCCTCAGCACCAGGCTCAGAGCTGGGCCAGGCATCAGGACCATTTCATCTTCCCATGGCAGTGCCGGTGCCGCTGCAGAGCCCTGGGGGCTGGGACACAGAGAAGCACCCTCCCTCAGGAGCTTCCTTTTCAACTGCGTGGCACCCTGCAGTGCCCGAGTGCTTTGACCAGAAGCATTTGGGCTTGGAAGGGTCTTTCCTGCCTTTTCCTCCACCAGCCCCCACACCCTCCACTGCCAGCGCCGTGGCCTCTCCCGTGCACCAGCACCTAAGGCCTCCCCTAAGGCAGGAGGGAGAGGGTGAGAGAGCGGGAGTCCCCACCTTTTGTGACCTGCTGTCTGTTAGAGGTGAGTCCAGGCCCATTCGCAGGGTGGGGGTTGCACATCGGCCTGACGACCAGGAAGGACTCTTTGGGGCCCTGTCAGAGACTCAGCCGCACACACAGATTAAACTCGTTTTGCCATATTTGTTATTTTGTTTTTAGTGAAGAATTTTAAAGTAAATTACATACATCATGACGTCTTCTTCTCCCTGAGTATTTTCATGTTTAGGATGTCTGAAAAGTGAGGCTATGTTCCCACAATCTGTATTAGATGGAATGGAATTAACAACAGTGCTCCAAGACCCCGGACCATCCAGCCTAAATTCCATTTGGGGATGAGATGCCTTTTTGTCTCAGAGTCCCAAGCGGTAAGCACCATGAACCCCTCCGTTGGCATCTCAATCTTCCTTTTCCTTGGATTTTATTCTCAATTTCTAACTTCTAAACTTGTAATTAGATTATATCTCATTTAATATTATTTGTTAAAACTGATTTATTCTAAAATTTGATGAAGCAAAAGTCTGGATTCTGCCTCAATATAATAAGAACCACTTAATTATAAACATTTATGCAGGGTTTTGCTAACCTGCATTTTGTTCTTGGTATAACCACATGTCTTCTGGCCCCTTAAAAGGTAATCTTCTATACGAAGCACTTCTATACAGATCTAAGAGAAGAATTAACTTTGAAACTAGTATTTTATTGGCAGATGATGCCCTGCTGATGAAACTGTGAATCAACCACATTTGCTCATAGATAGCACTTGGCACAAAAAGAGCTTAACACTAGTCCCTCCAGACTGCACACCAATGTTCTGGATTTCACAGTGAGACTCAGAGGGTGCGTGGGCTTTGTCACCTGCAGCTCTGGGATCCAGCCAGTTGGGCTGGGGCTTCCTCCCTGTTTAAATTTGAAAAGTTGGCCGGGCACGGTGGCTGAAGCCTGTAATCCCGGCACTTTGGGAGGCTGAGGCGGGCAGAT